GGTGATGTAATAGATGAAACCGCATATTAACGCTCCGACTTCTTGGGGATGCACTATGCCTAGAAATATAAAGTGTGAATAATTGTTATCAAATTAGTTGGTAACTTGAATACCAGCGATGAAAATTTGCATAAAAACCAGAAGAAAAAATAAGGAGGCCGGTGCCAGAGGTCCATCGTCTATCATCTGTATAATTATGCCAATCAATACAGCCATCATCACCAGGCAATACAAAGAACTTATTACAAAGGCAATCAAAAGCTGAAATTGAAATAAATTCCCAAATATTCTTTATCTTGAATGAAAGGTAGTTTATAGCGAAAGGCATTGTATAGAAAATACAAATAGGAGATTTTGGTAAATATTCGATTGTAATTTACCTGAAATTTTTGTTTTAAATAAATGCACGACAGAATGAAGCAAAACACAGGAACGAAGTTCCACAAGAATGAGCTCCAAATACTTGTGCTGAAAACAGCTACCAAAGCACCCACCATCATCAAGAATATAGTACCTGGACCCAAAATTGTGCCAACCATTAGCATGGCCTGGTAAACAATGTACGGCGTTGAAATGGAACTATTATTCTTCACGACCATATCCGCATCGGAAAGTAAATCAAATATATTTGCAATTGTGGAGGGAACCCAACGTCGTCGTTGGTTATAGAATTCATTGAACATCTCGGGTGAATGAGTATAAGCGTCCGATGCAGCTGAATATTCTACACGTAAGCCCTGTTTCAAAATCAATGTACATAACCACCGATCTTCTCCTTGGTCATACTGCACATAATGCATGGGTTCATTCGATACCATAGTATATTTTTTCATTACACTATTTTCCATTAGTGCACTACCACGAAATAAACTAAAACAACCGGGACTACAGAGCACACAACCAATAACGTGTTCCGTAGCTTTTTGCAGCCAATGACCTATCGCATATTCAAATATTTGATACCAGACCATGGGTCCACGACCGACAGGATGAATACGTCCACAAGCAGCGCCCAATTCGTCTATGGCTTTCATGCGATCAACCAGTAGCTGCACGGCTTGAGGCTGGAAGTCAATATCGCCATCCAATGCCAAAAGAAATGTGTTCTCAGCAATAACTGCTTTGCGTCGTGCCGATATATCTTCAATTTCCATAATGCGGAAACCAAGTAAATAGTACATGTACATGACTTGAGACCAACGCTTTTTATGTCTTATTTTATCTTTATTCTTTAGATGAGCAATCATTTTTGATCGACCTGGTAATGTCCATACGAGGCGACCACCATAAGGTGTTTCGGTCTTTACTGGAGACTTGATCTTCATGTTGACCCCATACACTTCGAAGCATGCCTTCTTTATACTGACAATTAAAGTTTTTACATATTCATTCATTGGGGGATTTCGAGAATTCTCGCATAGCTTTTCATCCAGCACAAACGCGTCGTCGAAAAATATATTGGCTAAAGTATAGGTAATATGGGATATTAATTTTCACTTGCAAGAACAAAAATAATATATATAAACATATTTATAAGAAATGTTATTATAGTCAAACGTGCTTCATAAAACTCCTAATTTTTGCTTTGGAGCAGCTCTGGTCACACCTGTAATCGGTAAGGTAAATAGTATACATTCTTGCTGTTACTACGTACTTGTAGATGTCAGCTGACAGCTCTGGTTTACCTACAACTCTTATTTTCCGATTCCGGTAAAGAATAAAAACAAATAAACAAGGACTAAGTTCAGGTATAACACACTGCAACTTGCCCGGATCAAAGCCGGGAAACTACTTTCAGATGTTGGCAAAACTTGCAACTTGAACGGTTGA